AAGCGAAACAGTTACCGCAGATGCGGTGGTCGCAAATGCGACTATTGGTCCGCAAATGCAGAATGTGCTAAGCAGAGGCTATAAAAATCGAGGTTTTTGGTTCTTTTATCATATTCTGAGACGTGGGACTCGGATTGAGATGATTTTTGGAGCAAATTTACACACAAGAATTGGAGTAAGTATTCTCTACTCGGTTTTGATTATATTTTATTAATTTATCTTCGTTTTTGGTAATTGGATTGTGAATTTTAAAGAGAAATTGGAGGTTTTTGGCATAAAGTTTCATAATGTCAATTTTTGAGTTTTGAACATCGAATTGGAGTCGAATTTGAGTGAAACTAGTATGGTTGGACTCATAATTGAATGGGTTGTTGGATTTTTTAAATTTTGTCAGGTTTCGAGGTGCGGGCCCGGGGTTGGGCTTTGGCCGATTTTGGGCTTTTGATTAAAGATTTGATCTTTTTCGACCGGAATTGGTTCCTTTAGTATTGTTTGATGTATTTGAGTTATTTTTTGGTTAGTTTTGAGCCGTTCGGAGGTCGGAACGTGCGAGATGGCATTTTGGAGCATCGCTTCGCTTGCTTGGTGTTGGAATTGACTTGTTCGAGGTAAGTAACTCCTCTAAACATAGTGTTGAGGGTATGAAACCCCGTAATATATGTTATGTGATCGGTATTGAGGTGATGCACATGCTAGGTGACGGGCGTGTGGGCGTGCACCATGTGTATTAGGACTCTGTTGCTTCTATGGCACTATATAGTGGTCCTACTTTGTTAATGTCCGTGTTTTCACCATGTGATAAAGTATTGAGCTGTCAATCATGCTAGATATCATGATAGGCTTTATGACGATATTGCTAGGACCCATAGTGGTCGCTTCTTGCTGTCATTTCACTAATTTCATTGATGTTTTGTACTCAATCATATTCATGCATTCATATCATATCTCAGTCTCAGTTGTTATTTATTGATATATCATATTATCGTTGTCGGGCTAGTTTCATGACATTGTGAGCCCGTGAGTGAGACCAGAGAGATTGATGACTGAATGAGGTCGGGGGCCTGTTGTGAGGATATTGATACTATAGCACGTGAGTTGTCCGTACAGCACGTGAGTTGTCCGTGCGGATCCAGATACTGATACTATATCAAGTGAGTTATCCGTGCGGATCCAGATAATAATACTATAGCACGTGAGTTGTCCGTACAGCACGTGAGTTGTCCGTGCGGATCCAGATACTGATACTATATCAAGTGAGTTATCCGTGCGGATCCAGATAATAATACTATAGCACGTGAGTTATCCATGCAACATATGAGTTGTCCGTGCGGATCCAGATATTGATAATATGGCACGTGAGTTGTCCGTGTTGCACGTGAGTTGTCAGTGCGGATTATAGCACTTGGGCTGTAGGAGCCTCTCCGGAGTCTGTACACACCCAGTGAGCGCAGTCGACTATATATATGTGAATCGGGTTGCAAGCCGCAACGGGCCTTATGGTCATATATGGATCGGGTTGCACGCCGCAGCGGGAATTGTACATCGTTGTGTGATTGAGAGAGGATGCGAGACAGTGAGATTGAGTACTGTGAGAGTGTGAGTACATGATTCATCTCTGAGATACATGGCATTGGCATGCACACATGACATACAGTCATAGAGATACATTTTTTTTTCTCATGCTGTACAACATCACGTCATTCATGACCTTTTTTACACATATTGATATGTGGGCATAGAGAGGTATTTCACACTTGCTATCTGGAAAGAAGCTGAAATATTTTATTTATTGTAGGAAGGATATATGAAAAAATTATTGTTTTCAAACTTACTCGTATTTCAGCTTTTTCGGTAAAAGATTCGGGTTTTCACTGATATACATGAAAAGAAATGCCTATTTTTCTGGAACTGTGAACGAACTGAGCCTTTTATTTCTGAGGTACTCCTTTGGTATTGTACTATGTTGTTATGAACTGTTGTGGAATATTGGTGTTGGACCCGACCTTTTTGTTAGATCGTCACTAGTTTCAACCTAAGGTTAGGTTTGTTACTTATTGAGTACATGTGGTCAGTTGTACTCATACTACTCTTCTGCACCTTGCGTGCAGATATTGACTGCTGATGTTGCTGTGTTTGATGGTAGCTGGATTGAAGATGTACCTACGTCCCAGTTGTAGTTGCCTCTTGTTCGTAGTAGCTTTAGATTTATAAAACTCTGCTTATGTACTTTTCAAACAGACTATGTATTTGTTCCATTTCATCTTTGTAAACTCTATTCTTAGAAGTTCATGATTTGTACTACCAGTTCTTGGGAAATGTATCAGATTCAAATAATTTCTTTACTTAATTATTTTATTGATTGTTATTGGAATTGGTTAGTGGTTAACTGGCTTACCTAGCGGGTTGGGTTAGGTGCCATCACGACTAGTTGGATTTTGGGTCGTGACATTATAGAACGGGTTGCATGTCGCAACAGGTAAAATAAGGGAGGATTGATACTGATATGATGGGATCAGGTTGCACACCGCAACGGATTTTATATGTGACTTTGATATGGTGAAATCAGGGAGAAATATGATATTGATTCTGATTATATGGTGGGATCGGGTTACACGCCACAACGGATTTTACATGTTATTCTTGATATTAATATGGTGAAATAAGGGAAGATTGTGTTTGTACGTTGGGATCGGGTTGCACGCCACAACAAGTGAAATAAGAGAGGATTGTGTTTGTATGCTGGGATCGGATTACACACTGCAACGGGTGAAATAAGAAAGGATTGTGTTTGTACGGTGGGATCAGATTGCGCGCCGCAACGGATTGTGTGTTTTGTATTCATTGTTGTACTGTGTTTGCTTTCAATGATTTCGTACGACATTTTGAGTACTGGTGTTTATGGTTTTACCGATTCCGAGGATTGAGTTTATTTTCATAAGTTAATTGTCTTACTTTCCTATTATTATTATTATTATTATTATTATTATTATTATTATTATTATTATTATTATTATTATTATTATTATTATTATTATTATTATTATTATTATACTGCGTGCAGGTTATTGTAAGTGACCCGCCTTAGCCTCGTCATTACTTTATCGAAGTTAGGTTCGGCACTTACAGAGTATATGTGGCCGGTGGTTGTACTCATACTACACTCTGCGCTTCTTGTACAGATTTTGGAGTCGGTCCAAGCGGCAGTCAGTAGATTGCTCATATTGATTGCCGGTACGGAGACTTGAGGTACAACTGCATGGCGTTAGCAAACCCTGAAGTCACCTTTTACCTTATCCTAGCCGTTTATTTCATTTCAGACAGTTTTACTTTCATTCAAACCATTATCTGTATTATTCTAGTCGCTAGTGCACTTGTGACACCAGTTCTGGAATTGTATCAAGATATTGCGGTTATTATAGGTTTTCTCACTCTATTTCAGTTCTATTTCAGTTTATTCAGTTTAATTGGTATCGATTAATTTGATTGGTTAAAAGTGGCTAAAAATTATTCTAACGTTGGCTTGCCTAGCAAGTGAAATGTAAGATACCATTACGGTCCCGAGGGTGAGAATTCCGGGTCGTGACACGCATTCATCAACTGCTTTATATAAGTCGCATATGTGAATTCAACTTATAGATCGTATTTATGAAATGTAACTTATAAATCACAATTATATTCTTATTCGAATCCCCTCTAATTAATGGTTAATAAATTAAGATTAAACCAATAAAGAAAAGTAACAAAACCATTCGTACTTAAAATTTAAACTCAAATTAATTATGTACTATATTGACTTTGGATTTCTTTAGGATTGAATAAAAATTGTTATTTCAGTTTTGTCCCTTGAAGGGGGGGGGGGGGGTGGAGGGACTGATAGACAAATAAGAAATTCTTAATCATCATTTGGAGACAAAGGCCTCATCTTAGGACAAAGCCATTTCACATTAAGGTCCAAAACTTTAGTAATAAAAACTATAGATATAGGCACCGCTTAGGTACAACGTCAAACTCACCTTGGATTTTTCCCTTTTCTTTCTTCCCCTTCCCCCCCTATTAACAGGTCTATCTCTCTCAAAACAAATTTGCTAGTTTTGAATAGCATAAAGTCTCAAATTGATGCTACACACATATCTACAGCAACCTGTCTTTCAGAAAAGCTTAAAGATTATAAAACTTTGGACACGCATTGCCGCTTGTAATAATTGATTAAGTCATGCAACATGGGCGGATTCAAAATTTGAATTTTTTGGTTTTAGATTAGTAATTCTACTATATCTCATCTAATTTAAATGCTTCAAAATTTATTATTTGTATAAATTTAATATTTGTTTGCGTAAAAATATAAAATGTGAGCAAAAGTTATGAGTTCAGACCTTTACACCAGATACACCCTTGAACATGGGCAGAAAGTCATGCATTAGATTCACACCTTTCACCTACATAATTAGTAACGGGTAATTATTATTAGGCCATAGCGTATATCAAAAAATGACAAAAGGATGCAAGTCGTATTCCTTAAATCTTCCTCGTCAGAAAAAGATAAGAACTTGATTGCAGCAGCCTCGCTAAGGGGCGGGAGCTAGGTGCCTAAAAATCACACTATATATATAAGGTTTATTTTTTTCCCCATGTATTTATATATTAGGTGTTAAATCCTATAAGTTTTTTTTTCGTGTTTACTCTTTTTTATTTTTTTGAACTCCTTGGTGGAAATCCTACTAGTGCGGACTGGTAACTATGTGAACCAGAGGCAGAACTAGCGTTTAGGTTACGAATTCTGCATAATCTAGTAACTTGGTCCAAATTTTGTATTTATCTTAAAAAATTTAGTGAATATCTACAAATATTAATTTAAAATATAATAATTTAAAAGGATTAAAATATCGAACACACAAATTTCAAATCATATCTCAACCTCGTAATTTGAGAACAACTAACAATTATTTTAAGGTAGAAGAGAAGATTGAAATAGTCATATAGTCTCACAATATATTTCCCCTTTTTGTATTTCATGACTCATATATCTATTTGAACAAGAAAGTATTTCAAAAAATTCAAATTTTTCTCATTTTCTTTCCAAAATTTTTATATTGTTAGTTTCCATTATTTTTACAATCCTACTACAAGCACCTAAATAAAAAATCTCATTCCACTTTGTCGTTTCCAAAGCCTTCAACCGCCTTCAATTGGAGAAAAATTAAAGCCAAAGCCAACAATTCCGTAGCAAAATCAGTAGCTTAACAGAGTTAGAGACTGGAAAATCTTGAATCAATTCTGAATCCAGACTCTTTAATCCCATCATTCTCCATTAATAAACCTGCATTTTCCAATATTAAGCTAAGAATCACAAATGGACAAACCAGAAAGAGATGTTCTTGATAACAAACATACAAGTTGAACAGTAACATAAGGTGATAGGATAAATTTAACTAGTTAAGAATAGTATAAGAGAATTGAGTAAATCGAAAAAATATAAAGCAGTGGCGGATCCAATAATAAGTTCACGAGTTAGGACAAAATTCAATGCTTCAAAGTCGAATCTCATATATATGTACGAGAGAGGCAAGTAGGGATATAGGAGGAATATTACTTCCCCTTCCGGCCTTTGTGGCCCGACCCTTCCCTGAATCCCGCACACATAGCGAAAGTTTAATGTATCGAACTGCCTTTTATTACTTCCCAATCCAACTTTTTTTTTCATTTTCCTTGTGATTGGTTTTCGTTTGTATATTGTTATTCTGAATTATATCTAACTCAAATTAGAACCCAGAACGTCTAAATTCTAAATTTACTTGTAATGTACAAAGGAGAATAAAGAGGTTACCTTGAGGAGTACAAAGAGGAGGCTCTTCAAAAAGAGAAAGGGATATTTGTTTATGAGCCAAACCAATGTCAAACAAGATCAAACCAGAAGAAGGATCATATACTATAATATCTTTCACTGGCAACCAAAGAAAAAGCTCTTCCTGAGATAGACCCTCTAATCCAATTAATCCACCATAACTAAGATTAGCTTTAACAATAGTGTCAAAAAACACCCATGTCTCAAATTTTGCAACACATGGCCTTTCTAAATAAACTTCCAAATGGCCATTTTTATCAAGATTATATGATTTTACAACATTCTTTGGAAATAGCCCAGCTGGTAGTCCTCTACTTTTGAGAAGGTCATGAATTGAACTAATTGAGGAAAATGTGGAATAAGGAAAGAGAAAGAGGTGTAGAAAAAGTGTACATAATATCATGGAGGGTGTTAAAATGGTGTTAAGATTGGCCATTGGGACTTTGATGAAATGGTGCAAAGGGATGAAGAAAAAAGAGAGGATTTTAACAAGATTTGTGTGTGAGTGAAGGTGGGACCATTGCTTATATTATGTCTGACCAAATCTCCAAACTGCCCTTTTCATAATCTAATTTTTCCTCCATATCTACTTTTGTTTTAAATAGAAGGGTAAATAGTAGCCCGCACACAAAGCATTTCACGTTTACGTAGGAATTCGGGAAGGGTCGTACTTACGGGGTGTGACGTAGATAGTGTACTCTAATACAAACATTAGTAGATACTTTCACTGTTCGAACCTGTGACTACTTTTATTTTAAATTAAAATATGATATTCAAACCAGGAAGGTGAGTCTTGACATAACTGATAAACTTATTGTCACATGACAAGGAAATCACGGGTTCGAACCGTGTAAACAACCTCTTGCAGAAATGTAAGCTAAAACTACGTACAACAGACTCTTGTGATATGGTACTTCTCCGAACCCAATGCATAGCGGGAGCTTAGTGCACAAAGCTAACTTTTTTATTTATTTATTCAAACCAATTTACATTGGGACATATCGGGGCATATGAGAAATTTTAATAGGGTGTGGACAAGAGGAGGGTAGAACAGAAGTGTAGCACACACCAGACAAAAATGGCTTAGGACTAAAGGTTGATTTTTTGTGCATGGTGGTGATAGGTAATTATGCCCAGAAGAAGAATCTTTCTCAGAAAGCTGCTGTAGTTCACTGGCCAAAGCAGAAGTAGAAACTGTTCTATGTACTTTTCGAAACATCCCTTTTTAACGGAAATTACGAGGTTTCACCTACTCTTCAATCTTTCTTCGTCTGTTATATTTATGGTTTTTGTTATTCGCATTGTAATATCGACTAATTTAGATTTGTGTGGTTTAAAATTGATTAAATATTAGCAGAATCTTTTCTTTTAAATTGTGAGCGTGATAAAGAAGAAAAAATAGACGAAAAAGTAATTTTCTCTTCCAACGGTGGCTAGTAATCCTAATTAACAGCAACACATGATATATACTAAAAATAATTTCTATAGTTTAGGCTAGGACCGGATTTATAGGGTTAAATAGAGTTCACGTGAGCAATATTTTTCAGATCTTTTTACATATTATTGAATATTTCGTTAAATATTTGACTGTAAATTTAATTATTATTATAGTAGTAATTTGAAGTTGTTATAGAACCAATAAACTTCAAATTCTAAGTCCGCTTATTTGTTAGGGCCTCGGCAAATGAGTTTTCGTAGATTGGAATGCCTTGCTGTTGTCTTTGAACATGACCTTTACTTCCGCTCTATTTGATTCCTAATGAAATAAGATATTAATTCTTTCATTGCTAGTCTTTAATCCTTGTGCCATTATATTCTTTTTTCTTTTTTGCTTTTCTTTTCCAATTATACTGTATTGCTTTTAGAACTTTATAAATTTGGTACAACTTCTATGTCCAGTGTGACAAAGTATCTACGTCCTCTTAAAAGCTTTAGAAAGGCTTACAATTACATATGAAGATTGTTGCATTTTCAGGCAAAATTTTAATAGTATGGACTAGGGGTGACAAACTGGTGGTTCGGGTCGGATATGGACGGGTCAAAAACTGATAATGAAAAACGGATAAATTATCTGATCAGACTCATATTTAATACGGATAAAAAATGTGTTAACCATCGAATAATATGGATATCCATATTATCCATGACTTTTTGAATATGATTACTTTTGAGAGAATTCTTAGTCTCTCAAACTTGAGGAACCCCAATTTGAGGCTTTACAAATGTAAAGTTAAACTCATTGGTTATCCATTTTCTAAATGGATAATCTGGTTCTTATCCATATTTGACCCGTTTCTAAAAAGTTTATTTTCCAACTCATTTTTAATGAATAATATAGGTGGATAACTATTTTTTTTTATCCATTTTGCCAACACTAGTATGGACTATGGTTTATGTAAATCAGAGCATAAAAGGAGTATTAATTTCTCGGACTTAACTTATTTCCATAATTATATTAAAATATATAACACGAACGTAGCTCCAACGCACTTACATTTTATCAGATAATTTTGAATGATTAGTAGAATAATTCAAGAAGAGTAAAGCTAAAAGCATGCGAGCACTCCCTCTCAATCACTAGGTTTTAAGTACTTTTAAAGATTTCATTATGATAATTGTCCTACTAAAATTTTATATTTGTAAATCCCATATCTTCTCAGAGGTTTCTCCCTGGGGATCTCTCCTTTTTGTCCAAGGTATCTTAGAGAATTTTGAAAAGAACATAAAAGCAATGACGAAAGGAAAGAACAAAAGTTAGACAGCCTCGACTACAACTACATTGTTCGCTCATAGTATACTCCATTAATTAAATAGCGTTTAATGAAGTGCGAAAAATCATAGGAGATTAGAGTTCAATTTTCAGCGACAAAAAAATATTAGGTAATTTATTCTCATTTCCTAAAACTTGGCGAAAAGTACTACAGGAACTAGAGCATAATATTATGGGAGAAGATTTTATCAAGAGATTTGATAAACATAGGAGTAATATTATTTGCTAAAATCAATCATTTTATCTCTCAAGGTAGCTTCTTATGCAACTAACAACACTCTTTTGAAAAGTTTAAAAATTGGTAGAAAGAGAACACATTAGCAATTTACTCGTAGGTAAATTTATCCTCTTTTTATTTTATTTTTTTATATCGGTGAATCTGCTACTTTCCACTAACATAAGTAACGAGTTACTTTGTCCATAATAGCTTAAAACGATGGCAATAAATATTTTTGGCTTTTTTGCCTCCATTAGGATTTGATTGATGGTCTCATTTGATCAACTATACAACTATGATGTAATTCCTGGCACATTATGTAAACCAGTTCCAAACCGCATTGTATTTGAAGTTGAGTGTGGGAATTCTCAAGTGAAAACAACTTTTTTTTCCATTTGATGAAGTTCCCGAAGGAAACCTTGGAGTAACGGTAAAGTTATCTTCGTGTAACTTTTTTGGATTCGAGTGGTGGAACCAGTCACTAATGCTTGCATAATTAGGTAGGTTGTCTACATTACTCCTCTTAGGGTTGGCTCTTCCGCAAATCCTGCATGAACGTAGGATGCTGTCACAACCCAAAATCCTAACCTGTCGTGATGGCGCCTAACGTGATACTAGGCGAGCCGACATTACGAAATAATTCTAACACTTTTAACAGAAAATGAATTAAAGCAGTTTAAATAATAAAAGTTCTCATAAACAGGGATAGAAACCCAAAACTCAATGCGAAAATTCCCAACTATCGGGGTGTCACAGAGTATATGAGCATCTATACATCACAAGTCTAGAAAAAATATTGTCTATAATAGTCTAAAATTAAATACAATAAGCGGAAAGATATGGAAGGAGAGACAAGGTCTGCGAAACGTCGGGCAACTACCTTGGAATCTCCAGAAGATCAATTGTGCAATGAAATCAACACCCACCGTATCCGGAAATACCTGGATCTACACATGAAGTGCAGCGTGTAGTGTGAGTACAACCAACTCAGTAAGTAACAAGCCTACATGAAGAATTGAAAGTAGTGACGAGCTTCACAGTTAAAGTTCAATTACAGTAATTTCAGCATAGGAAGGTAGGCATGCTTTCAAGTTCGACAATTAAGATCAAAACAGTTAATTCATGTCAAGTTCAACTGGTACAGAAGATAATATCTCTCATACATTTCAAGACGGTGATATATGACAGTTGAAGTGCAAAAATAATGAAGTCAAATGCATCCCCACAAAGCAGCAGTCACTCAGTCCTCTCATTCACTCCAACCTCACAATCACTAATTTCTCACAGTCACTCATTCCTCTCAGTCGCTCAGCACTCGATACTTGGCACTCGGCACTCGGCACTCGCGCTCAGTAGGTACTTGTGCTCACTAGGGGTTTGTACAGACTCCGGAGGGGCTCCTTCAGCCCAAGCGCTATAACAAGTCAATCATGGCATATATCAGTGAAACATGTTGCGGCGTCTAGCCTGATCCCATAAATATCCTCATAATCATGCCTTCGGCCTCACTCAGTCATCAACCTCTCTAGTCTCTTAGGCTCTCAGAAATCATGATAATCAGCCCAAACAACAATGACATAATGTATCAACAATGAACAATAGAGACTGAGATATAATATCCAAGTAAAACTGTGACTGAGTACAAAATAATAAATTAGCAGATAATTCAATATGTACACAACCTATGTGAGTCCCTACAGTGTCAACACATGGTCTAAACATGATTTTCAACATGATTTGCAGTTCAGTTACTCTAATATATGGAAAATGTACGGATAACAACAGATTATTCAACTACACAATTCTATGGAATTGGTCAGGCCACAATTTCTACGGTGCACGCCCGTCACCTAGCATGTGCGTCGCCTCAAAACCAAACACATGACACATAATACGGGGTTTCGTACCCTAAGAATCAAATTTAGAACTGTTAGTTACTTTAATCCGAGCAGCTCTCTACTCCAACACACCCTTGCCTTGTGAAACGGACTCCGAATGCCTCGAATCTAACCATAAAAATTTGATATAATCAATACGGGTTAAAGGAATTAACTCCATAAGAAAATGCTAAGTTATTAATCAAAAGTCAAAAATCAACTCAAAAGCTGGCCCCCGGGCCCACGTCTCGAAATTTGATAAAAGTCACAAAACCCGAAAACCCATTCAACCACGATTCCAACCCTACTAAATTTATCAAAATCCGACATCAAATCGTCATCCAAATTCCCAAATCAAACTCTCCAAATCCCTAGTCTCAAACTCTCAATTTACACCTTAAATACACACCAACTAGGTGGAAAAATCAATGGGGAAGCAAGATTATTGATTGAAAATGAGCACAAGGGACTTACCTCAAGAATCCCTTCGAAAATCCTCTCAAGAGTCGACAAAACCCGAGCTCAAAATGTTTAAAATGAAGCAAAATCGCGAACCCTTTATTTAAGTGTTCTGTC